TGCGCACCTCGGGGGACGGGGGACCCAACGGTCAGGCGTGGGGAGACGTATGCGCGCCGCGGGGCCGAAGACTCCGGGGCTTGCCCTTCAGCTCCGGCGGCACCCCTGACGCGTTCATCCCGTCTGTCGTCCGGAGCTGCTGAGGGCGTCTGGGCTCCGGGACCCCCTGAGCCCAAGCCGGCGGGACAGCCCCTCCAGGTGCGGTCCCCTACCGCGTCCGCCCGCGGGAACCTTCCCCTCAGCCGCAATTCAGGCTCGCTCCAGGGAAGGCCGACGCCAATCGCCTGCACAGACCCCTGCGCCTGCGCGGTCCCACCACCTACGCAGACCCCGGCGCCTGCGTGGACTCGGGCTGGGCATATCTCCGCGCTTGCGCAGAGCCGGCGCGTGGTCGCCCGCCAACGGGGGCGGGCCCAGAGTCGGCAGTCCATCGTTCGATCCCCTTCATTGGCTGAGAAATGAAGCCGTGGCCGGGTCCACCGCTGATTGGGCGGCGTGCGAAACAGAGGGGCCCTGCGAGCCAATCGCAGGGCAGATGAGGTGCGAGCCGGGCCCTGCTGGCCGCTGAGGGCTGAATTCGCCGTTTCTGGGCCATGGCTTCCGAGAAGCCGCTGGTGGCGGTGACCTGCACCGCGCCTGTCAACATCGCGGTCATCAAGTACTGTGAGTGCGCGGCCGGGGGCGCCGAACACGGCCCACGCGGGACGTCTACCCCTGCGGGGGCGAGACGGGGTTGGCGACACTGTCCACACGGGGGGGTGACAGTGTCCACGCGGACGGCCAGCCCCTCAGGGGACGGTGACAGTGTCCAGCACGGAGGCTGGGCTCCCTCAGTCTCCCGCAGCTGGCCAGCTGGGGGCCGCTGTCCATGTCTATCATGCTCTCGTCTGAAGATCGCTGTTAGTGGAATCACAGCCTATGTAGCTCTGGGGAGTGGCTCTTGTCACGGTGGTTCTGGAGACGTGCAGGCGACTGCTCACTCATTACTGGCCTGTTTCGGGCTGAGTCCTGTTCCCTGGTGGGGACGTCCCACACGTTCCTTAGCAGCTGGGTTGTTTCCAGGTTGAGCTTTATTGTGAATCAAGCTGCTGCAAAACTGTACCGGGGCTTGTGTGAATACAAGTTGTCATTCTTTGGGGACCAATGTCCAGGAATGCCTCTGCTGGGTCATAGGGTAGTTGTACTTTAGTTTTTTGTTTTTACTTTTTAAATTTTAAAGATTTTATTTATTTGAGAGAGTGTGCACGTGCACAAGTGGCGGGGAGGAGCAGAGGAAGAGGAAGAAGCAGGCTCCCCGCGGAGCAGGGAGCCCCACTCGGGCTGGATCCCAGGACCCTGGGATCGTGCATGACCTGAGCCGAAGGCAGGCGCTTCACCGACTGAGCCACCCAGATGCCCCTGCTTCTCCCTCTCCCTCTGCCATTTCCCCACTTGTGCTCTGATTCTCTCTGTCAAATAAATAAATAAAATCTTAAAAAAAATAAAATAAAGAAAAACTTCCCACCCCACTTTGCGTTCCCACCAACAATGTCCGTGTGATCCAGCTCTTCAGCCTCTGGTGGTGTTGTCAATAGTTTTTATTTGAGCTATTCTCATCGGTGGGGTGACATCTGGTTGTGGGTTTCAGGCCAGGGATACTGAACACCTGCTCTCCTGCTTACCTGTAACCTGCATGTCCTCATGTCCGTGTTCTGCTTGGACCGTGCACTTTCTTACCGTGGAGTTTTGAGAGTCTGCGATATCTTCTAGATACTAATCCTTTGTTGGACATGGGGTTTGCCAATATTTTCTCCTACTCCGTAGCTTGTCTTCTCATCCTCCTAACAGGGTCTTTCAAAGAGCTGAAGTTGTTAAAGTTTTGGTGAACTCCAATGTGTCAGTTTTTCCATGAGTGGGTCATGCCTTTGGTGTCAAGTCAGACACATTTGCCTGGTCCTACAGCCTAAAGGTTTTCTCCTGTGTGTTTTTCTAAAGGTTTTGTAGTTTTACGTTTTAAATTTAAGTCCCCACCTTGAATTGTTTCTCTGTGTAAGGCACGGGATCGCCTGGCCTCTGGATGTCCCGTTATTGGGGCAGCATTTGCTGAGAAGGCCGTTCCTCTCATTTGCATTGCTTCTGCACTCTTGTCACAGATGAGCTGGGCATGTTTGTGCCGGTCTGTGTCTGTGCCATCATGGGTCACCTGCCAGGCGGTCGTCATCACCACCCCCTTAACTGTCCACCCTCCCAGCACCGCACATGAAAGCGCAGTGTGCTGTGCCTGCTTCACCGAGAGGTCCGCCACGTCCCCCTCCGCGAAGGTTTCCTTTATCGCTGGTGTGCGAGCAGTGGGGGCGGTCCCGCGTGTCTCCAGGGCGTGAGAGCAGAGAGCTTGGAGGTGTTTCCGTAACCAGGGCTCCTCCTGTGTGGGAGGCAAGAACCTTACCATCAGAGTGGTCAGGGTCTGGAAGGCACTCCAAGGTAATTCGTTGAACAGATGAAACAAGATTAAACAGAAGCATTGAAGCAGGGGGATGGGCTGGCCTCCGGCTCCGCTCTGGGAGTGGGAGCCCAGTGAAGTGGGGAGCAATCCAGGAGGACTTCCTGAAGGTGAGGGCACAGCAGGAAGAGGACGTATCCAGTGCAGAGAGCAGGCTCCCGGCAGATGGGGGAGCAATGGGATGGGAGTGAGGGTAACTGGGGAGCACTGGTCGGGAGGAGTGAGGGCAACAGCGTGCTGGTTTGCAGGGCTGGGAAATGGATTGGCCTTGCCTTGGGTTGTTTGTTCCAGGGGGAAAGCGAGATGAGGACCTGATCCTACCCATCAACTCCTCTCTGAGTGTCACCTTGCACCAGGACCAGGTTAGTATGGGTCGGCACTAAACACCAAAGCAAATATCTACCAAACTTATTTTGTTGAACTTTTGTGTGACAATTGGATTGGTAGTAATAACTCCCTAGCCAGTGACAGTTACACACACACACACACACACACACACCCCGTTAGGACTGTTCTTCACATGCACTCCCATGCTCCCTGGTGTCCCCTGGAGGTCCGCATCCCTTCCTCCGGGAGCCATGCCCAGTGGCTCTGCTGTGGGCCATGAAAGTGTGGGCTGCACCCTGCGTGCTGGAGGCCAGGCCTGGCACCGAGCCTGCTGCGTGGCTTGGGGCCTTCCTCACTGCCCGGCCTGGCCTGCTGGGCCTCAACAGCCCTGTTCTCCAGTAAGGCCGTCCCTGCCCCTGAGTGCATGACCGTGAAGGGCCGTCATAGGAAGGCCCTCCCCAGTGGAGGGGGCTGTTTAGCCAGCACCCACCCCTGAGGTGGCCTGTGTTTTCTTTCTCAGTTGAAAACCACCACCACAGCTGCCATCAGCAAGGACTTCACCGAGGACCGGATTTGGCTGAATGGCCGGGAGGAGGACGTGGGGCAGCCCCGCCTCCAGGCCTGCCTAAGGGAGAGTGAGTGGGGTCCCGCGAGGGACGCGTGCAGCGCTGGGGCCAGGCCAAGCTGGTTCCTTACGCCACTGTCCCTTCTTCACTCTGGCTTGGGTCTGAGTGCACAGAAGATGCTGCTGCCTCTTGGCTCCCCTGACTTCCCACCGCAGCCCGGCCCCTTTTGGGGGGAGGGGATGCCTGTTAGCACAGCCGGAGCCGGGTGTGGGTCTGGCGCTGGGGTCGGCGGCTTTCCCCTGAGCAGAGGCCTGCACAAAGCCTGCTGCCTCTTCCTGACTCACGGCAGGTGAGTTGCCAGGAGCAGGTCGGGGCCACTCTGCCCAGTGACCGTCTCCCCCGTCCCTTCAGTCCGCCGCCTGGCCCGGAAGCGGAGGAGCGCCGGTGATGAGGACCCACTGCCCCTCAGCCTCAGCTACAAGGTTCACATCGCATCAGTGAACAACTTCCCCACGGCCGCGGGCCTGGCCTCCTCAGCGGCAGGTTATGCCTGCCTCGGTGGGTGCCCACAGGAGACCCAGGGCCCCTAGAGTGCTGTGCTGCGGCAGGCGGCCCTTCACACGCTCGCAGCCTTCAGGGACCCGAGTGCTAAAATCTTCCCCGGGCTCTGTGTGTAGAATCCTCTAGGTTGTATGTGCCAGAAATCCATCTCGAACTGGCTTAAGCCTAAGATAGGGCCAGTTTCTTGGCTTGGCTGGCTCCGGGTGCTCCGACAGGCTCCCTGGGAACCTGTCTCCCTCCCTCCAGACCCCTGCTCCGCTTTCCTCTGTGCTGGCTCACTCTCCGATAGGCCCTCCCCACCTGGGGCAAAGCTGGGTACTGCAGTGGCAGGCGGTGGGCTGACCGGGTGTGGCCTAGCAGAAACCCCAGGGGTGATGCTTACTTGCTCAGCTAGTTCATGTGCCCATGCTTAAGCTGCCCTCGATGACTGGCAAGGCCAGGAGGACACGCAGTGGTGGGGACAGAGAGCCTGCCTTGTGGGCCCCCAGCTCTGTATCCTGGCAATAGACCCTTGGCCAGACCCAGCCCTGCTCCCTAATGCCCAGCACTACCAGCCGCCATGCTCATGCCCGCTCTTCAGGCCTCTCTGCATTGGCCTCTGCTCCACATGGCTTTTCAAAGTCTTCAGCCCTTCCCTACCCATCTGAGCCCCCTGTGCCCTTCACCCTGTGCCTGCAGCATATGCCCTGGCCCGGCTCTACGGGGTTGAGAGTGACCTCTCGGAAGTGGCTCGCCGGGGCTCAGGCAGCGCCTGCCGGAGCCTGTATGGTGGCTTTGTGGAGTGGCAGATGGGGGAGCGGGCCGATGGGAAGGACAGCATCGCCCGGCAGGTGGCCCCGGAGTCACACTGGCCCGAGCTCCGAGTCCTCATACTTGTGGTGAGTGAGACTGGGAGGGGGCGGTTCCTCCTGGCCCGTGGGCTCCCTGGGTGGTGGAGGCACCTGGCTAAGCTTTGAGCGACTCCCCGCAGCAAAGGGGCTACTGTTCCCAGGCCTGCCCTGTCTGCCCAGGGAGGGGACCTCTGTGGTTGGGGAGGGATGGAACGGGATGGGTGTTTCAGGCTGGGGGCTGCAGGGTGGGGTCCAGGCTATTTCTCTTGGTGCAGGTGAGCGCGGAGAAGAAGCTGATGGGCAGCACCGCGGGCATGCAGACCAGCGTGGAGACCAGCTCCCTGCTCAGGGTAAGGCTGGCGGCGGCCCAGGGCACGTCCTGCACATCGCAACACGGCAGGCTCCACCTGCGTCCTTCGAAGCCCGGCTGCTCGGCTCGGCTCAGCCCCCAGCAGAGCCCCTGGCCGCCCTGCAGGGGGAGTGGCTGCACCTCACGGGAGTGTGCCTTGCAGTTCCGGGCTGAATCGGTGGTGCCAGCGCGCATGGCAGAGATGACCCGCTGTGTCCAGGAGCGGGACTTCCAGGGTTTCGGCCAGCTGACCATGAAGGACAGCAACCAGTTCCACGCCACCTGCCTGGACACCTTCCCGCCCATCTCTTACCTCAGCGACACCTCCAGGCGCATTGTCCAACTGGTGCACTGCTTCAACGCCCACCACGGGCAGACCAAGGCAAGGCGGGGGGGCAGGTGGGGGCTGACGCCACTCTGCCGGCTCCCCAGACTTGCGGCGTGTTCCCTGGGACAGCCCTTGGGCCCAGAGCTGCTGGAGAGCCCGGCTGCGGTCCAGCACAAGCCGGCCGAGACAGGGCTTCTCGGCTCCTGCTGTCCCCTGCTGTCTGCAGGTGCTTTGTTTTTTGGCCGGTGCAGGGGTGCGTGGCCCGCAAGTGAAGCCGCTGGTCCTGAGCTGGTGGGCAGAGGTGCCGCGGCTCCACGGCAGGCAGGTCGCCTGGGCCCGGCTTGGTCGTGGGCAGCCCCGGGTCTCCGTGTGAGCCGGGCCGGCCACTCCGCAGACACTCAGCACTGACCGCGTGGGTTCCAGGTGGCGTACACGTTTGATGCGGGCCCCAATGCCGTGGTCTTCGCCCTGGATGACACTGTGCCTGAGTTCGTGGCTGCCGTGAGACAGTGCTTCCCCCCCGAGTCGAACGGAGACAAGTGAGTTGGGGGTCCCCCACATTTGGGAGGCGCGGAGGGAGGAGCAGGGTCTCCCGCTGAGATCTGGGACGGTGGCCCCCGAGGCCGTGGTGCTGAATGGGGGTCCCATGGGAGTTTCAGTCTCTGCAGGGACGCCAAGCAGCGTGCCCCCAAGGGTGCCTCCCTGTGACCATCACATGTCAGCCCGGTGGCCTCACGCGCAGGTCCATGCAGCGTAATGGCTCCTGGGGGCGGCGCCTGCGCCTCCTGGTGACGACCGGGCCTTTGGACTTCTCTCTTCCAGTCGTTTCAGCACAGGGACACTTCCCTGCCAGGGGTGCAGGGAGTATGTGGGGTCGGTTTATGTGTCACTGTCGTCTGGGCAACACTGACTTGTAGTGGGTGGGGGCTGGAAGGCTGACTTCCTCACCGTGGACGGACCCCATGACCAAGGACGGCCCCCAAGGCAGCTGGTGTCCTTGTGGGAGACTCTGAACTCATTGCTCTTGTCACCCCGTGGGCGGTTTGCAGGCTTTCGCTTCCTGGGGAGCATGTCCGTGGACTCCCCCTCGGACTGAGGTGTTGCCTTCGTCTTCTTTTTTTTCAAAGACGGTATTTATTTGAGAGAGAGAGCATGAGTGGGGGGGAGAGCAGAGGGAGAGGGAGAAGCAGGCTCCCCCTGAGCGCACAGCCCGACACGGGCTCGATCCCAGGACCCTGAGATCGTGGCCTGAACTGAAACCAAGACTTGGTTGCTCAACCGCCTGAACCACGCAGGCGCCCCATGAGGTGCTTCCTTCTTGAGCTTTGTTCCCCCCCACCCCGGGCCAAGCGGGAGCCGCGGGTGAGGAGTGAGAGTCCCTGGTGAACCCGCCAGGCACTTGCTCACTTGTACCGGACTTCGTGTGCGAGGTCACATCCACACCGCGTACCATTAGTGTTTGTGCAGCCTTGGAGTGCGCGCCCCGGGGCTGCGTCCACACACGGTTGTTAGCTTCTGACCTGCACTTACCTGCCTCTCCCGTTATCCCCGTCTGGTTCCGGGGCTTCTGCATTTCCCCGGAAGAACCCTGCGCCCCTCCCCCAACCCCCGCAGCCGCCAGTCTGCTTCCTGTCCTGCATCTGCTGTCTGCATGCTTCCTGTCAGTGGCCTCCCGACCTGCCTGCCTGTCTTTCCCCAGGTTTCTGAAAGGGCTGCCCGTGAGGCCTGTCCCCCTCTCGGACGAGCTTAAAGCTGCGCTGGACGTGGACCCCACCCCCGGCGGTGTCAAGTACATCATTGCCACCCAGGTGAGGCCCAGCGGCCCCGCTGACTGAAGGGGCTCCCTTCAGCTGCCATCTTCCCAGTTGGCTGGGAAGCCGACTTGCCAAGAGTAGGAGCAGAAGACGCAGTGACATTACCTTTGGGTTTTCAGAGCATTTAGTACAATGTGGCTTGTCCCATTCACTCACTTACCTTGCAAGTGGATGTTTAAGGACCCCCGGCATTGCGGGGTGGTGTTCCCTGTGCTGAGGGGGCAGACTTAGGGAGACACACAGGTGCTGGGGATCCTGGGGACCTTTATGGCTCACTGCACAGGATCAGGTCAGAATCCCTGTTTGAATGCCTGAGTCAGCATTTCACTGAGATCTGTCTGATTCTAATTCCTGTGACCTGAGCCCCCAGGCCCATGGTCTCTCCCTTCCACTTGGGACCTGCTGTCTACCCCGGGTCTGGGTGATGGAGGTCAAGCGACAGGGTGCCCAGTGTGGGTCAGGGTGTCAGGGTGTTACCACGTGGGTTGTTAGCTTCTGACCTGCACTTACCTGCCTCTCCCGTTATCCCCATCTGACAGGTGGGACCTGGGCCTCAAATCCTGGATGACCGTCAGGCTCACCTCCTGGGCCCAGATGGCCTGCCGAAGCCAGCCGCTTGACTGCCTTCCCCGAGGGGAGCCCCGGCCGCTTCGCTGGGACTGGGGAGCTGGGTGTGGCGGCTGGCGGGTCCGCGCTGGTTGGGCCCTGAGGGCTAGCCCCCAGGCTCCAGGCCGGAGCACGCGCTGTGGCTGAGTCGGGTCAGAGGAGTGAGCATGTGCACCACCCAGGCCATCGGGAATGCCCCCCACCAAGGACCTCACCTCGCTCCAGCCTCACCCAGTGCTTTGCCGAGAAGAGAGCGGGTATGAGCGCCAGGGATCTGATTCCGGGCGCTGAGCTGGACGGTGTGGAGCTGCCGGGCACCCCTTCAGAGGCCACTCCCACAGCCCCAAACAGCAGCTCTGCCGGACATGATGGGGAGTTGGCACCCCTCCTCAGAGCCGGAGGACAGGTCACCGCTGCAGACCTCAGGGACCCCCCACAGAAGCTTCAAGCCTGAGATAGCCCCATGGTCCCTCTGCCAGACTCAGGCATGCGGCACAAATGGAACGTTTCCTTACAGAAGGACCCCGGCTGTGTCTCCAGCGGGCGGTGGGCGAGCAGCACCCACGGAGCGTGCGGGCTGCTGGGAATAAAGGCTGCCGGGCTGACCAGGGCAGACGTGCTCTTCTGTGCTTCCTACATCCACGCTCTGGGGCCCCTGCGCTGAGAGGCTGGAGGGTATGGGCAGAGCACCCAAAAAAGCTGCCTTCTGTCCCCTTCGCTTGCCTGTCAACTGCTGGCCACACAGCGAGGGTTGAGCATGTGGCCACGACCCACGTTCGGCGGCTGACGTGGTCACTGAGGCTCTGAGGTGTGTGAGGATGTGGTTTGGGTCTGGCCCTAGGTCCCTGTCCATGAAAGAAGGTGGGAAGTGGGTTTGCTGGTTAAGGACATGATTCCCCAAAGCCCAGAAGTTTCTGGGTCCTGAAACCACAGGAATGCCACCCCTCCCCATTTCTGAAACATCAGTGCAATGCAAGGCAGGCTTCCAGGAGGAGGTGGACACCTGGGCCAAACCCCTGTCCCTCTACCCCCAGGGTCAGGGCCGTGGCCGTGGCAGCTGCTGCTGAAGCACCTGCTGGGCTATGATCCTGACGGGGATGGTGGGGGGAGATGACAAGGACGCACTCCTGCGTTCCGGATTTCCCCAGAAGCTTGGCACATCCTGTCCTCCAGAGGAGTTAATCCTCTGAGCAGAGGGTTGCCTGCAGTTTGACCTCGGCCACACCTGCTCCAGGCCACGGCCAGATGGGGAAGTGGGGGCTGAGCCTGCCACCGTCCCTCATGGTGAGTGCTGGCGCCTTGTTCCCTTGTGGGTCATCCATTATGTGGCCATCTAGGCCTTTAAAATCTAGGAACCAGCCTGCCCACACCTCTCGGGAGAAACCCCTGTTGCCGCCTGTGGGATCCTTGGTCTGGAAGCTGAGCGTTCTGGGGTGCCTCTGCCCTCTTAGGCAGGTGCCTCCAAGTCACAGCCTGATCCCCGTGTGACCCAGCCCTCCAGGGATCGCCCTGGTCCGAATCAGCCCAGGTGATGCTTGGGAAGTCGAGCACAAATGGTGGCCTCCCCCTCCCGTGCCCGGAAGGAGCCGGGAGGAGGAAGTGGGCCGGGCCTGGGCCGGAGGCGGGCTGGCTGGGCCTGCAGGGGACCCCGCCAGGGAGGGAGGCCTGGGGCGGACAGGCCCCCCACGCTCGGTCCCGGCTCTCACGGAGAGAGGGACGGGGAAGGCCCCAGCTGGGTGCCCACCTGCCCGCCGGGGCGGGGCTGCCG